CTTGAAGACTTACTGTGTGCAATAGAATACTGTATAGTTGTCTTACCTAACATGTAACATTCTTGTCTTGAAGACTTGAAGACTTACTGTGCGCAATAGAATACTGTATAGGTGTCTTACCTAACATATAACATTCTTGTCTTGAAGACTTGAAGACTTACTGTRTGCAATAGAATACTGTATAGTTGTCTTACCTAACATGTAGCATTCTTGTCTTGGGGTTTCTCGATGGACTTGAAAAATCCTCTTTTACTAAATAGCCCTTGTTTTGTGCTCACCATAATTTTCTCTGTGTTATGAAGCCTAAGCGATAGACAATTTGCTGCAATGGCCCTCGTTCTTTGCGCACCATTTCCAGTTTGCTCTGTGTATATGTCTAAAGTGTGCAATGGTCTGAATCTTGTTTTCTGTGTCTGTCTCATCAGGTACCAACTCAACCTGTTCTCCCAGATGTGTCTAGACAGACAGTATTTAGCTATCAATAACATCAGCAAACAGCTGGACGTTGACCTTATTCTCAGGTAAACTATTCCTATATTTGGTGTATTTACTTGAGAATGTAGCCAGGGAGTCATGTTTTCCCATTTCATTCCACGGGTCCTTCCCTAGAGTATCATTTCTTTGTTTAATAGTTGTGTATAAGTAGACACGTAAATATGCATACAACTCAAACAAAGAATCGTATTCTCAAGAGAACGGCGTGTGGTCACGTGCTTTTAGTTCGAGTCCGTTGAGCTGCGCCACTGCTGTACTTGCGGTCATGTGGTGACTAGCGATAACAAGTTTTTATAACAAGGTCTGAAGACTTAAGTTAAGTAAAATTGCTTTATTTCCAATTCCTTCAGGTGTATGGCAGACAAGGAGTTCACGTGTGACCTCAGGGCAGCCTTCTGTAGGTTAATGCTGCACATGCATATCGATCGTGACCCACAGGAACCAGTGACGCCTGTCAAATATGCTCGGTTATGGACTGAAATACCAACTGAAATGACTATTGACGTGTGAGTATTAATTTTGAGCAGATTTCTATGATTACCGTGAACTTGACGTTGTCACAAATCAGGACACAGCTGACCCACARATCGAATCGGAATTTAGTGTGTAAAGCTGATGTTACGCGACACGATTCGCAACGACCATTTTTCGCGATATGACTCRTCGATTTTTAATACACGAGTCACGAGTCTCGCTTCTATGATTGTATTGAACTGCATTTTGGATATGCGTTGCGCGCAAAATCGTTGATGAAGCTGTTACACGAATCAGCTTACAAAAAATTCGCAATTCTGCGTTGCAAGTTTTTGATTCAGCTTCAAAATCTTGCAACGTGTTGCCAAATCCAAAAATTGTTGTACGTGGCATGTTACACTGCATCAATTGTCGTTGCCAATCTCTCAGTGCAAGGTTTTTTTGAGGAGGGAAGAAAACCGGAAAAAAAGGGAGAGACCTCACAAACTCTACTCACGTGTGATGGAATCAAACCCGAGACCCCAGAGGTGAGAGGCGAGTGTACTACTTCTACACCAAAGTTGGTTCAGTTTTCGTATGACTGAAAAGCTCACGGCACGAACACGGACGTGACACGGCAAGGGATATACGCCTCTCCATCCAATCAAATGCCCGAAACACGTCATGAACATGACGTGGACACTGTCACGCCAAGGTCACGCCACTGCCAGACCAATCACATTACGCGTGAAAACAATTCCCCAATCAGAATTCTAGAAAACATCACGGTCGCGGCAAGGCACGTATACGGCACTGCCTTTTTCCCGTGCGTGCCTTGCCGCGACCGTGATGTTTTCTAGAATTTTGATTGGGGAATTTTTCTCATACGCAATATGATTGGTCTGGTCTTACCAAAACTGTTCTACGGGGATCATTAACTGTTGATATGTTATATTCGTAGATATGATCAGCACGAGGCAGTAGGTGAAGAACGGGAGGAAATCAGAAAGAGATTTGAAGGCGTGATACACTTTGTTGAGAACTACTTACACAATATCAGCAGCAATGTGTTTGCTTTTCACGACAAAGAACAGAATAAACTCACCTTCGAGGTTTGTTAGTACTCCATAGTGTTATTTGTATTAACTTGAAAAGGTCAGAATCGCTTTAAATGGATAGATCTTTGAATGAGTGCACAAGATGAAATGTAAATCGGTGAATAGATGAATGGATGGAAGCAATGAATGGATGGGATGGGATGGATGAACTTATTGGATGGTATAAATTAGAAACTAAAAAGATTGATGGATAAATGGATGAAGGGGATGAAAGGGATGAGTCCGTGGATGATAATGAATGGGTGGATAGATAGTTAGAGGGATGCGGAATAATTATACGAAATAAGGATAGCGCAGCGCACTGATTCTAAAAATAGCTTAAAGATTCGGACAAACATTGCATTCTGTTTAACCGCTACGAGGATTATACGAACCGATTTTATTATTTTTACTTAAAGTTACAATAATAACCCATGTAAACTAAGATCAACTGCGATCGACTGTGAAAATTATCTGCTGAAAGTAAACTTGTAAGTTTGTTTGTCCGAATTTCGCCTTTGTCTTCGTTTTTATGACGTCACGGTTGCGCTGCGCTATTGACCTCCTCGGCTCTAAAGCGCTCGAGCGTAATGTTGTCCCATTTCAGACCACGTGAGAATAATATTCTTTGTTTGAGTTGTATCCATATTCATGTGTCTTCTCATGTGCAACCGAGTGCAAAGAAATGATACTCTAGGGAATGACACGTGGTCTGAAATGGGAAAACATTACGTCAGAGCCGAGGAGGTCTATTGATAAAGGGATAAACGGACGAACAGACAAACTAACGGAAAGTCGATCAAAAGAACAAAAGTAAATTGAGCAAATAAAATAAAGGAATACAGAAACGAATGAATGGCTGGATGGGAAAGCCTTTAATTTAGATATATGAATATATAAATATATATTTAGGATAGGTATTTCTTTATTTCAATACGTTAGTGATACATAATTGTAAAATTTTCATTCATTTATTTTTTTTATAATTGTTGAGCACTATTGAGCTTTTTATGGAAATAAGGCTATATAAATAAATAAAGATATTATTATTATTATTATTATCATTATCATTATTACTAATTTCAAGAATAACAGATCCAGTTAGATGAGTACTTTGTGACATAATTTGACTAATCCCAAGGTTATGTTGTCTTTCTAGGTTGTCCAGATTGCCAGGAATCTTATCTACTTTGGTTTCTATGGATTCAGTGACCTGCTACGGCTCACTCAGACACTCTTGTCTATCCTGGACTGTGAGCAAAGAGGCTTCGCAGGAATACAACAATCTTCCGCGAAGAGTGATGGTCAGTGCTTTAGAATACTAATAATAATATTATTATTTGAAAACTTGATAAAGGTACTTTTAGGTATAYGATTTAGTAAGGAAACTTGTTGTAAAAGACAAAGTTTCGCTGTCATCTTGACAATATCATCAGGTCTATTGAAACTGTAGACTCTACTATATGTAAATATAGCTATAGCTTTCACACTTCCTTTAGCTATATTTACATAGTAGAGTTTACAGTTTTCATTACACCTGATGATTTTGTCGAGATGACAGCGAAACGTCTTTTACAACTAGTTTTCTTAATAGATAATATTATTATTAATATTAATTATTAGAATATTAATAACATATCTTAAATTAAGAGTTTTTTTAATCATCAGATTGAACCTTAGCTCTCTTTACCTTGGGCTTATTGTTTTCTCATTTCAGATCACGTGTCATTCCCTAGAGTGTCATTTCTTTGTTTAACGGTTGTGCATGCGAAGAAACATGAATATGGATACAACTCAATAAACGAATTAAATTCACAAGAGAATGACACGTGCTGTGAAATGGGAAAACATTTAAAGAGGTCTACTTACAGACACTGTACGAAGTTAACAGCCTCTATTGAACCAATCGCACAGCGCGAAATCATAGGTTATTTAATTAGAATAGTACCGTCACACCATAGGGCATGGACACGGTACAAAATGACGATATTTTTTTATTCTACTTACTCGGATACGTGACGGTCATGGTCCCCCTCGACACGTCACGTTCGTACCATATGTGTTTCACAGTTCTCCCAATTGTGGCTGACCATTTTTTACTGTATTAAGATTGAATAATTCGTTTTTATTTCTATGGTTCTTTGTTGTGTGATTTCAGAAAATGCCAACAAAATGGATGTCACCAAGAGCATTCATAGCCTAGGGGCCGCAATGACCAGGGTGGCGTTTGGAGGGAGYCTTGATCCATGGGGGCTTATTAAGCAGAGTGAATCAGGACCCAAAGTTGAGGGTGAAACTGACCATGTTGTCATGGAAACTAAACTAAAAGTGATTGAGATTCTGGAGTTTATAATGAATGTGAGACTTGATTACCGTATTTCAAGTCTGTTGACGATATTCAAGAAGGATTTTGACGAGAGTAATGCTAACATGGGTGAAGTCGATGGCGATACAGGTAAGGAAACAGTAACCTAGTATCACACCTTATCTCTCACAACGTTATTACCTACCTGCTGGTCCATACCTATATACCTCAGTACTTACCCACCTATACCCACCCAATTACCCACCTATCCACTCAATAGTCTACATACCCTCCTACCTAATTACTTATGCATCCACCTATACACCTACCAAACAGCTTACCTACCTACCAACCTACCCATCTATACATCTACCCAACTGCTTACCTACCTACCCACCAACCTATACACCTACCCAACTGCTTACCTACCTACCTACCTACCTACCTACCTACCTACCTACCTACCTACCTACCTACCTACCTACCTACCTACCTACCCACCTTACTACCCCATACGTACCTACCTAGTTATCCTAATTACCAGCCTATTATCGTATTATTTCATATATTCATTTTTTTATTGCTGTTGTTTATTGTTAACTTTAAAATGTTAAACCTCGAATCATTCTAGCATATAAACTGAACGTTAAACCCCAATCTAAAATCTGGACATGTATCATAAATCCAGCATCTCCTATCATACTAAGTAACCATTCATATAATCTACTGCATACTAGCTCCAACATATCATTATAAAAGGATATCTATAATAACATTTAACCTTGGTTTTGATACGACTAACGATAGATTCTGTTCCAGGAAAGAAAAAGCGGTGTAAAATCGATGAGGCTGGGGTACCACACTTCCTCGCTCCACACACCTGTATGTGCGAGTTATACACTCATTAAAAACTTTAAATATTTTATAAAAACTTTAAAATCGATATCTAAATGGGCAAGTAGCGGAACAGCTTCTGCCTTTATAAGCCATGCCGAGGTTGAGGAAAAAAACACATCGCAGTGCATTGTGGGACTGGAAACATTTCCAAGATGGCGACAATTTCGTCCTCAAAACAATCCCAGAGTGCACTGCAATGCCTACTCGGCCTAGTTTTTCCTCAACCTCGGAGTGGCTTATAGTGATTGTGAGCTGTGTCGTATCTTTGTAAAATATATAACGTTGGATTTCTTTTCTTTGACTTTTTTAAAAATTGAATTGGCCACGACCAAATACTAAGAATATTAATTCCTAGACTTGAAACTCCCTGTTGTTCATGAAACTCCCTTGGTGTACGAGCAAGCTTTGTGTTAGCCCTTTGGGATGGGGGTGGGGGGGGGGGGGGGGAGCTTGATTGAGTCTGGATTTTCCTATTCTTGTATAAACATTTTTCTATCAACCAAGATACAAATTACGGCTTAGTTGGCTAAAGATTGCATGTAAAAAAACGATAAAATACATAATTATRAATAAAACTAAAGATAAATACTAATGACGATCTGATAATACTTAACAGCTCGGTTCGCCAGTCAATAATAATAAAATAGAAAAAGAACATATAAATATAAAGAAAAGAGGAGAAGGAAATCTAGTAGATTTGAACTTGACTTTTAAATTGAACTTCTAAGAAAATTAAGCAAAATAGACCGCGTTTTGTCTTCTGTGCTGTTTTCTTCGTCACTTTTGATATTGTTGTTGTTTTTTWATCGTTGTTGTTGTTATTGTTGTTGTTGATCATGGACCCCGCGAAGAGGAAGGGACTGAGTGGTCTATAGCCCCTTCGCGTTGTTTACCATATTCTTTGAATATCGTTAATCCTCCAAACTGAAATATTCCAGGCGTTCCTGGGTGTTTTTTCCCCGTCAATTCAAGGGGTCTATACTAGCCTCCACAGGCGTCTCCTTGGCTCTTCTTTTTGACTCTTTTTGCTCCTTGGCCTCCTGTGGCGAGGAAACTTTAACACAGGGGTCCCAACAGAGAATATATGAGGTAGCCTGCGGAGGAGGCTAGGTCTATACTAGTGTGCTATATTTTCAAACCTAAAAACCCACCCCGCTTCTTTTTAGGGAGCTCCACGGTCCTTGTTGAAGATGTTTTTGTCCCATTTTTGTACCACAAGACGATGTTTATTGTGTTATCTGTTTATTACCTTTATTTTCCTCAAGGGATCGACTTGGAAAACATTAGCGCACAAGCAGAAGCTATCTTTGGTGGTTCCCTGTAAGTACATATTGGAAACAAATATTGGAAGCCATTTGAGTGTTAGCTAGGGCGAAATGCTTTTTCATTTAGGGCCACATGTCATTACCTGAGTATTATTTYCTTGTTTAACGGTTGCACATGACAAGACACATGACACATGACACAAGACACATACGACTCAAACAAAGAATCTTATTCTTGAGAGAATGACATATGATCTGAGATGGAAAACATTGCACCAAGCAGAAAATTTCTTTCAATATCAAAACGTTTAACTTTACGTCTTTCCTTTTCTTTCTTTTAGTGGGTCAGCTGAGATTGACCTTGACCTTGATGGTCAGGGGGGACGCACCTTCCTCAGAGTTCTTCTGTACCTCTGTATGCATGACTACCCTCCCCTGGTCACAGGCGCGTTACAGCTTCTCATGAGACATTTCAGTCAACGACAAGAAGTGTTGCAGGCATTCAAACAGGTAAGACTTCATTATTCTTTCCTTTCCTTCACTGCGTCAGGTTCTTAGGTTTCAAGAAACTACTTATTTTCCTTACCAGAGCCAACGTTCCTGTTGCTCTGCGGTTAGAAAAAATATCCCTATGATATATATGTGTATATATATATTATTTGATTGGCTACATGTATACAACTGTATACTAGATTAAAATCTACTAGAAACAGGAGATAAAAACAATTTCCGGTTTTGGGATTCTCCCAGAGTCATTTGTTTCTTGGAGAATACCAAAATTAACCCTGGTTGTGAAAAAAAAAAGTTTTTTTCGCCACTTTGAGGCCTCGAGATTTGGCACCATTCCTACTCATCTTGTTAGCCACAGGTATCCTCAATGTACATTTTTCTATCCAGGTTCAACTGTTAGTATCCAATAGTGATGTCGAGAACTACAAGCAGATCAAAACAGACTTGGACGAACTGCGGCTGTTGGTTGAGAAGTCTGAGCTGTGGGTGTACAAGAGTAAGAAGGATTCCGTGTCAGCTTCATCGGGGAAAGACAAGAAGAAAAAGGAAAAGAAGAAGGATAAGAAAAAGGAAGGAGCAGATGAGGGGATCATTAAGAAGGAGGCAGTGAACCAAGATAGTGATAAAAATGGAAGAGAAGACAGTGATTCTGATGAGGTAAGAATGACATTCAAGTTAATTTGAATAACACTAGTGCTGTAGTAGTCCCCTACGCAGCCTCTACAGTATTAGTGTCGTTACGTAACGCTCGCTCGCCTAAGTTAAGGGAGTGAGCGTTGCGTGACGACACTAATAACGGCTGTCAGGTGCGTAGGAGACTAGTGCTGTAGTAGAGTAAAAATACTTTTTTTCGCTATAAAATGAAGCAATCAAACATACACCTATATTTTTGTTCATTGTGGAGCACTGAAATGATTTTGCAAGACATCCACAAGCAAGGAAAGGGCTTACGATAATCGATGTGCATTGAAATGGCTTCCGGGTTTGCGCAAAGGCTTCTATTATATCCTTGTTCTTTCCAGTTGAGACACATCAGTTTTAAAAGGCATTCAAATGCTTTTTAAATGGACTTCTTGGTTATCCACAAGCACTGAAATGGCTTTCAAAAAACATTCAAATGGCTTGTTCTAATTATTTCTCTGACACTTTACAGGCTTTTCGAAGAAGAATCCCAAGTGACAGCTCGCTTGAACTCGAAGTGGAACACTCAGAATCCATGACCCTTAAAAATTACAAGAAAGTCGAAGCTGTAAGTAGAACCAAACAAACTTGGCTCCTTGTCTTGTGGGATGAAGTGAATCTCAAATGGTCAAGAAATCTTCTCTCAACACTGATTATCACTGATAATGATTTTTGCGGTTTTTAAACAGATTCTACAGCGTCTGAGTCAACTGTGTATATCGTACGGTCCGGGCGACTCCAAGAAGAATCGAAAACACGAACAAAGACTACTGCGCAACATGGGTGCGCATACTGTTGTGTTAGAGTTACTGCAGATCCCTTACGCAAAGGTAAAGAGAACAGAAAAAAAGCTAAATAACTAACTCGATTGAATGCTTCTGACATAGATGATGGCCTAGATGATGCAGAGCGTAAAGCCTGGCTCATTCACTTGGAATCTGAAGCAGTTTAGTCGTGAAGTGGAAAGCGAAAACCGCACATATATAGCTTTTAAGCTTAAAAGCACGAGCCAAGCAAAAGGGAATCTTACGATGTTTCCGATTACTCTTTTGACGCGGGTCTGACTCCGATAAGCTGTTTCCGACTCACGCAACTGAAAGCCAGGCTTAAAAGAAAGGAAAAAAATAGCTCAATATTATTTCATTCCAGAATGAAGACATCCGGATGGAAGAAATCATGGTCCTTGCGCACGAGTTCCTGCAAAACTTTTGTCTCGGCAACCAACAGAATCAGTCACTACTGCACAAACACTTGGACCTGTTCCTTACACCAGGGGTGAGTAATACAACATAACAYAACACCTTTACCAGGGAGGGCCTAGGTGGTGGAAGAGGGGCGTCACCTCCAAAAAACAAATATATCCACGTTCTTATTTCAAAAGTCTCCAGGGGTAGCACGTTTCCGTAAACTGAACATTTTCTAAATTTTAAGTACTTTGCCAATTTTGTAGGCAAATATTCTTTGTTGCAGGAAGTACGAGCTGTCTCTGCTCTTTTCAACAGATAGAATTTATTGCGCGCGAGCTTTTAATACGCGCAACTTGTGACGCAGCACAAGGTGATGTTACACCAATCTCGTACCCAGAGCCTACATTTCTTTTGGCCTGCGGCGAAGAACGAGGGCTCTGGCATAATCCATTTTTGGCGCATGCGCAGTTTTCCGGAAGTTTTCTGGGTACGAGATTGATGTTACACGAGACAATTTTTTGCGTAACATCGTTGCGTTAAAAGTTTGCTTCGTGTAACATGGCGCGCGCGGCAACACATATCAATGGCAACAATGTCACTGAGTTTTGAAGGTCGTTCAAAAAACCACAACATGTTGCCGCAACAAAATATCGCTGTAACAGCGCGCCATGTTACACGAGAACAATTTTCGCTCGAGAAATCGTCGTTGCAAATCGTCTCGTGATAAAGTCTCAAGTGTATTTTATGCTGTCTGTCGTAGCTACAAGAGGCTCAGACATTACGTCATATCTTCATGGATAACTCAGCTCTGTGTTACGAGGTGACGGAACGTGTTGTACAACACATTGTACACTGTATTGAGACTCGAGGCAGACATGTTGAATACCTAAAACTACTACAGACTCTTGTCAAGGCTGAAGGACAGTCCATACGTAAAACACAAGACATTGTCATGGCAGAGGTTTGTTGTGTTTCTTTGATTGAACGTATCATTTTGTCTTTAGGTTTTGAATAWTGTACTTAGGCTTAACAGAATTGGTCCACTTCCCCTATTGTATTAGTTGACAAAATCCTCTAAGGGACCATCTCACAAAAGGTCCACTTCTCAGGARGGACCATCCTTAGCAAGGGCCTACTATTTGTAAGAAAATGTCCCTCTTAAAGAACCACTTTGTAAAGAGCCACGTGTTGTAAGGGACCAACCTTCACAATTAAGGAGTAGAGCTAAGGACCACTTATCGTAAGGAGCAATCTTCATAAGGGGTAGGGAGGGACCACCTTGTGAAGGACCAATTATCGTAAGGAACCATTACGACCATCATGAGAGTTTGAAGCAAATGGCTATTTGATGTCTCTTGGCCTACCATCCTGGTCATGTATAGGTATAATATATTGTCTGTCTGTCCTTGTATTCAGTTGGTGAATGTCGGTGAAGACGTGCTGGTATTCTACAGCGAATCTCAAGCCTTCAATAACCTGATCGAGATGATGCAGTCAGAACGAGAACGACTTGACGAAGCTGGCTCACTTCTCTACCACATCAACCTTGTACAGCTGCTAGCGTGTTGTACTGAGGGCAAGAATGTGTACACTGAGATCAAGTGTCATAGTCTTCTGCCTCTTGATGATATCGTTAGGGTTGTCACGCATCGGGATTGTATATCAGAGGTAAGACATATCTTCATTTCACAACCTCTATACTAGATTCCACCACACCACATCACACCATATCACAACACACCACACCACACCACACCACACCACATCACACCACATCACA